ATCGGTCGCTATATGCCTTAGCGACCGAATTTAAGTAGTTGCAAAAACCCTAGTTCCTTTATTATACCAAGTTCAATTCTTAGTTGATTATATCTTTCCTTTGGTGGTGTGGTTTTGTAAATATGTTAGCAAGTTGTTTATTTGTCTCAACAAACTCTACCACACAATCATTCTTTTGAACATGGTCTCATAAGAAATGATGTCTAATTTCAATATGCTTTGTTCTTGAGTGTAGGATTGGATTCTTAGTAACATTAATGGCACTAGTATTGTCACATCTTAATGAAATCCTGTTAAGTTTAGTTCCATAATTGTAGACCCCTAAAATTGTCCGGGTCGGAAATAAAGCTCAAAGACTCTCAAAGACCGAAGGAAAGTCAGCCGGAAGGACTCCTGGAAGACCCTAGGATGATTCTTTGTAGGTCTAGAAGTCTTAGAGTAGCTTAGAATAAGGGTGTGTGAGGATTGGAGCCCAATACGCCCTCCCAGAGGTTCAGTACGGCCGTACTGAGCTATTTGAACTACAATACGGCCATACTGAAACCAATACGGCCGTATTGAAGTTTTTGAACTTCAATACGGCCGTATTGAATTCAATACGGCCGTATTGAAGTTCAAAAATTTCAATACGGCCGTATTGATTCTGTAGCCCGTATTGGGCCTGTTCCCTATAAATATGACGTCAATTGGACGTCATTTCACACTTTCACACTCAGTTTTGACTCCCTCCTTGAGTATTCTGGGGTTTTTGAGCAGTGTTCTGCCCTAGAAATCTCTCTGGGAGTCGATCCGACGAAGTTCTGGAATTCCGAGCACTTAGCTTGGAGAATCGAACCTAGTCGAAGGGAAATCCTCCGGATTTCCATAGTCAAAAGTTTTTAGGAGGGAGCGAGCGGGCTTGTAGAGCGAGGGAACGCCAAAAAGCTTCCCAGTTTTACTCAATATATAAAAGCACGCTTCAAGAGGTTTCTTCTTAAATCCTTCCTTTTACTGCTTTCTGTGTGCATATTTAAACTGTCATCATGTAGATAGTTAATTTATAATCGCTTATAATAAATAGGGGTAATTTAGTAATTTTACGTTGTTATTTTTGAAAAAAATCTGTCATAGGGAACCCGAAAGGGGCGCTGTGGGGTGCTAACACCTTCCCCACGCGTAACCGACTCCCTTACCCAACTCTGGTTGTAATGGCCAAAGTTGATTTATAAAATCAATTGCCTTATCCCTTTTTCCAATGTTTTGAGTAAAACATTGGTGGCGACTCCACGAACCCTCCTTTACGAAAACCACTAATCCATGGAGGGTCCCGCTTGGGATTAACATGGATTGGCGACACTTTTAATAAATAAATTGGATAAGATTGACAAGGTCTCAGTTTGAGAACAAAGTCGTTCTAATAATCCAATACATTTTCAAAACTAAAATAAAAGCGAGCTCGACCGTCTTCGCGACCGCCGAGGCCCGTTTGGGCCGGTGGCGACAATTCCAGAACTATATTTTTGAACTTTTCTCCTAGAAAATCGATTATTTGTTCAGCACTTACTTAACATAATCGTTTATTCATAAATTTAATCGATTATTGCTGAGAGTCATATTTGTTTAGCTTCCTAGATAATCGATTATTTCCCAAATAATCGATTATTACATAACCAATTATTTCTTGAAGCTCCCAGATAATCGATTATTACAAATCCTATGTAATTCAACCATATCCTAGATTATCGATTATTTTATCATTCCTAACTTAAGATAATTAATTATATTTAAAGATAATCGCTTACTCCAGAGACATTTTGTTTTTCTCTTCTAAACTCATAAAATTTTTCTAAGTCCTTTCAACTATCATTTCATTCATTCATCAAACACATTGCAATTTTCCAGTACAGTTCTATTCTTCAAATATTCTAGTAATTCATTACATATCAATATCATATTATTCAATTGATAAGTATTAGAAATCGAGTCAATCAATTCAAACAAGACTCCTTTATTGTACCAAGTTCAATTCTTAGTTAATTATATCTTTCCTTTGGTGGTGGTTTTGTAAATATGTTAGCAAGTTGTTTATTTGTCTCAACAAACTCTACCACACAATCATTCTTTTGAACATGGTCTCATAAGAAATGATGTCTAATTTCAATATGTTTTGTTCTTGAGTGTAGGATTGGATTATTTTATTTTTTTAACGACCGAAACCGTTCCGTCGCTATTTTAATCAACAATTATTATTTTATCTACCTGTTATTTTCTACTAAAAATTCTTTCTCTAAATTTTTCGCTAAATAAAATTTTCAACTAAATCATATGCGTTCGCTAATTATGTCGCTATTAGCGACGGAAAAAAAATTGGTCGCTAATTTCGGTGGCTAAATTGACTTTTTTTTGTAGTGTCAATTCCCTCTTCTTGATTATACCCCTTAGCAACAAGTCTTGATTTATTTCTTATAATGATTCCAAATTCATCAAGCTTGTTCCTAAATACCCATTTATAGTTCCAATTATAGGATGATCACTAGGTAATGGCACTAAATTCCAAACTTCATTCCTTGTGAATTGATTTAATTCCCCTTGTATAGCCATCAGCCAATGTTCATCATGTAATGCTTCATCTATTATTTTGGTTTCAACTTGTGAAAAAAAAGCCAGTGTATTAAATATGTTCTTTATAGATCTTCTAGTAGTCACTCCTTTACAATTTCTCCAATTATGTTATCAATTGATAATTCTTTCGAAGTTCTCCATTCTTTAGGCAATTGTTCACTTGTATTTTCTATGGTTTCTTTTAATTCACTCTTTTTAGGCATCTCACTTTGTTCATTTTCTAAAAGTGGTTGATCAAGCAATTTAGTTAAATCTTCCATTTCAATTTTCTTTGCTTTCTATTGGTTTGATTCATCAAAAACTACATATATAGATTCTTCAACTACTAGGGTTCTCTTATTAAACACTCTATAGGCTTTTCTATTTATAGAGTAACCCAAGAAAATTGCTTCATCAGCTTTAACATCAAATTTACCAAGTTGGTTCTTACCATTATTCAGCACAAAGCATTTCCAACCAAATACTTTGAAGTATGAGATATTAGGCTTTCTTCCTTTGTAGATCTCATAAGGTGTTCTTTTTATAATAGGCCTAATTAGAACTTTATTTAATACATGACATGTTGTATTTATTGCATCAGCCCAAAAGTATTTTGGTAGATTTGTCTCATTTAACATAGTCCTAGCCAATTCCTTTAGAGACCTATTTTTCCTCTCCACAACACCATTTTGTTGAGGAGTCCTAGGTGCTGAAAAATTATGATCTATGTCATATTCCTCACAGAATTTTTGGAATAAATCATTTTGGAATTCTCCTCCATGATCACTCCTAATTGAGGTGATATTTGTGTTCTTCTCATTTTGAACTAGCTTAGCAAACTTCTTAAAAACATTGAAGGCTTCACTCTTATTAGCAAGAAACATTACCCATGTATACCTAAGATAACCAATTATTTCACAGATAATCGATTATTACAGCAAGGTTTCTCAACTATTGAAAAACAGAGTAGAAATAATCGATTATAGTTAGTAATAATCGATTATATTGAGTTAGTTCCCAAAATTCAATTTCACACATTTAGAACCTCTCAAGTTATTTTTAATCATCATCATACTTATTCTTGGACAATCAGAATTAAGACTTGACTCATCCATAAAGCATAAACACTCATAAACATGCATAGAAAATGAAATTGACTAACAAAGCAACATAACACATAAAAACATATAAACTACTCATATTACATTTGATATTCATTCATGATCTTCATGTCTTCTCCTTTATTCATTCATGACCTTTGTTATCATCAAAACCCTTAGAACTTGATTCACCATCCATGACTTTTAACAATAGGAAAGATTTTTCGATCCAACTTCCTTCCTGAGCACTATGCACGAGGTATCTATTTATAGGCCTCAAATCTAACTAGAACGGTTGTTTAGGTCACCAAAATGGACCGTTCCAAATTAGTTCGTTATAGCCAAGATTTGAATTTGGAATGGCCTGTTCCAAAATTAGAATGACCCATTCTAAATTATTATTTTGCTCATAACAACCTGGGTTAGAACGACCCATTTTGGATTCGGAATAGTCTGTTTTAACTTAGGATTTTTAGGCCTTTTTGATGATTTGAAATGGTCAATTCCAGTTTGGGAATGACCCATTTTGAGCTCCTATTTCAGCCCCTTGTACTTTTGGGCCTCTTGATATTATTTTGGTCTATTCAAGTGTCATATTGGGCCTTCAAAGTCTTATTACCTTGTTTTGGGTACCTTGGATGAAATTAGGTGTCTACAACACCCACTCGCCAATCTCGAGCATTAAGGCATAATTGTTAGATATGAAATGATCTAATGATTTTCTTTGTGCAAATGTTTAAATGCAACCACCCCAGGAATTATAACCAACACAATAATTACAATTTCATATACCCATTTTGTCCCTATGTTTAGCATCCCTTACTCTTGTTTGAAGGTAGCTCCTCCAAGGCTAGAGGCATGTATACTGTACAAGTCCCGGGCATTAAGGCACCTTCATGAGTTTACATACTCTCTTTTCAATCACATGGTTAAATTACGCATGTCTCTTTAGTAGCCTCGATGACCGATGACTTTGTGTTGACAAACAAGGCCTCAATGAGGTATCTGAAAACATCCTATTGGACACCCTAAGCCCTTTGGCACCCCCGACTGCCAATGGCTTTGTGTTGCCTAATAAGATTTCAACTAAACACTTAGGAACACCCATTCGACATCTCAGGCTCGTTTGGCACCCTTGTTCGTCGGCAACTTTTTGTTGTCGAATGGGTTGGGCGACTTCCCACTTTGCTATAGGTAATTAAGGTGATTAAAGCCTAACCATAGTACAAAACAAGTTATCAACGTATTACCTAGTTGGAAATCCTAGGTTGAGACCCATCATGGTTAGTATAAATGGTATCATATATCAAGATAAAGTTATTGTTTATAATATATTCGAATTTATTTAAATCAAGTAAATTACTTACTTGAGTGTTAATAAAGTATCTTTTGCAAGTACATCGCCTTGGCTTAGCAAGGCATTCAAATCTACAATTACATATATATTTATATTTGCATAACTTATTCAGTAACATTATAACATGTGTATGCTTTTAACAATATTAGAAGTTAAAACATATCCTTGATTGTCATGAATTGACTCACACGACACATAGCTTCCAATGCATACTTTCTTTTCAACATAGATTCTTTTCCTTCAGTCATATCAATTTCTTCTTCGTTGATCCTTTTCCACTCAAAACATTGAATTAATAAGGCTAAAGCTAAATTCATTAAGCGGTGTGCCATGTTTTCTCCGGGACAAGACCTCCTTCCTAACCCAAATGCAAGTAATTTGTTTGCTTCATTTTCTTTCTCAAATCGCTCTGGCTTAAATTGTGTAGGGTCATTCCATAACTTTGGATCTTTATGAATAGTCCATGTATTCACCAACAAAATTGTGTTTTGTGGGATATCATATTCTCCAATTGCACAATCTTTTGAAGACACATGGGGTAATAATAATGGACCAGGAGGATGTAACCGAAGTGTCTCATATATAATGCATTGAACATAGTGGAGTTTGGAAATATCATCCTCATCAACTAGGCGATTTTGTCCTACGTGACTGTCTAATTCATTTTTTGCCTTTTTCAATATTTCTGGATGATTTAATAAATTAGACATTGCCCATTCCAAAGTTATGGCTGACGTGTCTGTTCCAGCCATTATCATATTCTGTAAAATCCATCAAATGAAATATCAATCAAATAAATTGAAACGAAAAATAATTCTTTCTTTAAAATTAATTACTAAATTTTGACTTTTCCAAAATTTGTATTATATATTTTACTCAAGAAAAACGTATTAACGATCTGTCTTGTGAATAAGTATATTAAATTTTGAAAAATAAAATCTAAGACACTTGTTGCTTTCATAAACCACGATGATAATTAAAAAATTCAGATGCACTAGTTCCTTTCCACTTTTTCTTTTCTAAGATTTGGTTTCCACTGTTTCTACAACAAAACATGCATGCACAGTCGACAGAAATCGTGTCTCTTTGAGCCACAATCACCCAAAAAAATTATTAGTTCATTCAAGATTATCATGTGTCTGTGGTTCAAGCTAATCAATAGACTAGATAGAGAACTAGATATCGTGTGGTCCATGATCCTTAATAATTTCTACACAAGGACGCATCAATATGACTTCCGTTCTTATCTTATTTTGCCAAATTATTTTGTACGTACGTTTTATGCACTCTACGAGTACTTAAACTCATCATATGTGGTTGATAGCTCACTGTACAGAGGCCAGTGTCAATTGCAATATTACGCAATAAATAATAATTTATTCACATAATTAATAAAAAATATATAGTTAAAGTAACTAGTCTCTTATAATAGAGTTAATCAAAGTTCAAATATTCAGTAAAAAAAAATGTTTATATGTGTAATATTCGATCGTAATTAAAAATGATACGTGAGAAAATTGAAAAGGCAAAACTAAAGGAAGATTATAATTACCAGAGCAATTCCTTTGATGATTTGATCCGTGTAGTATTCAGGTTGTGATCGTTGTTGAGTTAGGAGATAGTCTATGAATGTATTAGCACTGTGTTTCCCATTACGATGCTGGTCAATGAGTCCTTGTAAGAAAGCATCGCTTCTCTTACTAAGACTCTTCAGCTTCTTCTCGAAACCATCCAAATCAAACAACCTCACCAAAGGCAGAAAGTCTCCACGGTTGCTCGGGGTCACTAACGCAAACAATTCTTCAATCAACTCTCTAAACTGTTTTGCTTCCTCCACGTTACTCATCTCACAGTCCTTGCCATAGTACCTCTTCCCCGACACCATCCTCAACACGGTGTTAAACATCATTTCCGAAAACATGGATTTTAGTTCCACTTTGGCGAAACCGTTGCGCGAGCGCTGAGCTAGCTTTCGCACGAGCCTCATGGCCTCGTCCCTTCGGACATCCGAGAAGGAGTTTAAACGGTGCGTTGAGAGAACCTCGAGCGTCATAATGCGGCGGAGGTTGCGCCAGTGGTCGCCGTAGTCGGACGACGCCATGGTGGTGAAGTTGTAGTTGATGTACTTTCCCGCGATAAACTTGGGCCGGTTCGCGAAGACGATGTCGTTTTTGGTGAAGCATTCTTGCGCCGCTTGGTGTGACGAAACGACGACAACTAGACGGGAGCCAAAGCGGAGAGAGAAGACATGGCCATATTTTTGTGACATGGCATGGAATGTGCGGTGGAAAGGCTTGGGGAGTTGGTGGAGGTTTCCGATGAAGGGAATAGAAGGTGGCCCTGGAGGGAGGTTTTTGTATCTTCTGGTTTGGATGAGGAACTTGAGAGAGAGGAGAAGAACCATACATGCGAGGGTGAAATAAAAGGGAGTCATACTGTTACTGCCCAACTCGCTAGAGTGTTTTAGACCAAGACAGTTGGTTGATTCTATTTTCTAACACCAAAAGCTTACGATTTTATAGAGGCAAGTAGCAGGCATGCAAACATGCGTGTTACTACATACCCTCACTTTAATTCAGGTGTTTTGGGTTGCCTTTGAGCTCATGCAAGTAACTGAATTTATTGAACGAATTTGGTAACTATAAAATAGCACGAGTATTCTGAAGTTCATGTATTCACTTATCACGTCATTTTTATTTTTTTTTGTGATCGAAAAAAATTACAATAGAGTTAACCACCATCTTTTAATGTTACTTAATTATCATGTTAATAGTAAATTAAATGATAATAAATAAACAACTAAATTATTCAATGCCATTTAATTAAATGTTAATATGAAAACTAAGTATGTTCTTGAATTAATTGAGAGATTTTTTTAAAAAAAATTATTCAAATGTTTTAAATATATATTAATAACTAGATTGGGTACTCACAAACTACTAGGGTTAGCCTAGTGATTGGGTGAGGAGGAGTTTGGATAGTTAAAAGCATGAGGACCTAAGTTCAATCCTCATTGAGATCATCTTTGTAAATTTTCTTATCTTTACCAAAAAAAGATTGGGTACTCACACATGCATGGATACAATTTTTTTTGTATTTTTTATTTTTTATAATATTGTTTTTTTATTATAATAGCAATTTACTACTACTTGTGAATTTTTATTATGTTTATTTTTATAATATTATTTGAAACTATTTTAGATTATTAATATACTATACTTGTAATAATTTTTTCATTTATTTTAAATTATTATATTAGTCTACTATTAGTTTTTAGTTTGTTATATTTCATTAATTTTGTTTATATTCATTATCAGTGTTTATTTTATTTACTCTAAATTTTATTGAAAATTATAATATATAATTATTTTCTTATAAATATTAGTCAACGTTTTAGATATTTATAATAACATTATTTTATTTTATTGTACGTTATTTTTTAGATAACAACTATTATGATGGAAAATTTTAGTTTTAGAATTATTATGTTAATTTTAATTTGAAATTAACTTTTGAAACTCATTTTAATTTCTAATTTGAATTTTTTAAAACTTATTTTAGTTTGAGTTTTCAGACGTGCATCTATATATATAAATTAGAAGACATGTATTGTACAAGAGTACTTTTAAGTTTCAACAATAGTATTTTTAGCTTATTTTCTTCAATGGTAGCGTGTTAGGAATTTTTCTCAATCTCTCATATCTTTTAATTGACCTTTTTTTACATATTGAATTTCAATATTTCTAAAAAAAATATATTTATAAAAAGTTAATCACATCCTTAAATTAAAATATAAAACTTTATTATAAATTTTAAATACAATTTAGATAGTCAAAAGAATGTATTTATTAAGTTTAATTACACTTTTGTCCCTCAATATAACATAATTGTACCACTTTGATGTCACAAGTTTAATTGAACAAATTAGGACCCAAGTATTTTAATTATGTAATTTGGTCCCAATTTATTTTTTTTTTAAAAAAGTAATAGGTTTTATTGCAAAAAGCCAAGTTTGCAAATCGATATCACATAAAAATAAAACCAAAATGATAACTAACGAAAGGTCTAATAAAATGAATACAAAATAAAATCTAATGAATGAAAATCAAGTAACATAAAACGAAATCCTAACTATAATCTCGATGTCACATTTATTATTGGAAAAAAGACTTTTAAAATTGATTATTTTTTACTTTTAAAATTAATTGTTTAACCAATTTTAAATGAGTAAAACTTAAAGGTTAGACTTTTAAAATTAATTATTAATAATTGATCTTAAAGGTCTTCACTTTTAAGATCGATTATAAAATAATCAAATATAAAAGTCAAAACTTTCAAAATTTAAATAAGCGTCGGAAAAGGAGACACTATATCTAAAGAAATAGCATTGACTTTTCCGACACTAAACTTAATTTAAGCTAGTGTCGGAAAAGCCAACGTTATTCTTTATATATAGTGATTTTTTCAATACTAATTTAAATTAAGTTAGTATAAGAAAAATGACGCTATATTTAAATAATAGCTTCGACTTTTTCGACACTAAACTCAAATTAAGTTTAGTGTCAAAAATGTTGATGTTACATCTTAAAATAGCGTCAAATTTTTTGACAGTATTTGTATAATTACTAGCTGACACTTATTTTATCTTGTAATGACAATAGTGATTCTATTCACAAAAATTTATTAAAGAAAATTAAAACAACTAGTAACAATTAATAAAACATATAATAAAATGAGAACTAAAAGTAACATCCGTATTTAATTTTAGTTAACTTAGTCAAACACTAAGTTACTAGTCAATATAAAATATATGTTAAAAAAATAAATAAACTAACACATACTGTTAAATCACTTATTAGAGAAAACACAAATATACAACGCATATATATAAAATTCCTAATTTTTTAAATTAAGTACCTAATTTTTTCAATTAAGTACCTAATTTTTTCAATTAAGTACCTAATTAAGTTATGAATTTCTCTCACGTTTTTCTTTTACTCTAAAAATTAAATTGTATATGAATAGATTTTCAATATAAGTATATAATATATAAAATTCAGTAATATAGAAACAAGAAAAAGATCAATAGAAATAAAAAATAAAAAAGTTTCATTAATTGAAGCACAAACATATTGTTTTCATTGAAATATATACTTTCTTCATGTTAAAACCAGGATTTGCAACTATTTAAATCGCATATATTTGAGTCTTTTAGATATAACATAAAGGCATACATGCATATGGGTGCTACAAAAATGGAAATCTAGCTTGGACGAATGCACTGAACAATTGTCGAGCCTTTAGAAAAGTGACTCAAAAATCAAGAAACGACGCTTGAATTAAGTATGCATTCAAAATTCAAGTATGCTTAATTTCACTATTAATAATATTAAATATTATATCGACAGGAAATTTTTAGAACTCCTCTTCAAACTTCAAAGGCGGAAGAAGAATTGTGGGGCTTTCATTTCATCAACCGCAATATCAATCAATGATTTTTTTTAATTTATTCATATAATCAAAATGAGCGACTGATATTAAATTAAAAAAACTAATATTAATCTCCTACGTCTATATTGCCTATATGTGATTTATAATAAACACTATCATCTGTCCTCAACATTAATCAGTATTATAATAAATACTAAGATAAATAATTGTGAAATCTTTCAACGGTATTAGCTTGTGTAATCTTACAATACTAAAAGCCTAAAACATTAATTAGTCGGGACTTGGGCTGATTCAATATTGTAAGTGTTTTTTTTTTTTTTAAACTAATTATGTAAATGAGATTGTTTTGAAATTATTTATATTTTTAAGACTCTTTACTATAGTGTTATTATTAGTCATAGTAATTTTTTTTTTTGAAAAAGGATTGAATTTAGTCATGCAAGAGTCGCCACCAATTGTAGCCACTTTAGTAGTATCATTACCGGTTATTTCAACATCTCAAATGACTCAATTTTTTTTAAAATAATTCTTTTCATAAAAATTTTATTTTTTAAAATAAATTTATTTTAAGAGTTGATCATTTAAAACATTTTAATAATTTACAAAAAAATAAGATTTTTTAAAAATAATTAACATTAAAACAAATCCATTTTTATAAAGAAAAGCTTTAAAGACTATGGAAAAAGACTCTGAAAAAAAATGTTAAAAAAGTGAAAAAAATAAGTGAGTAACAGAAGGAAAACAAAATGTAAAAATAAAAAATTTTAAAAATAAAATAAATTAACATAAAAAAATAGAAGTCGCTATGGACAAAAGTGACTTTAAACAGCACCGACTCTGGTAAAAAGAATGAAAAAAATAAAAATAATAAAAATATATTTATTTCAACATCTCAAATGGCTCAATTTTTTTAAAAATATTTTTTCATAAAAAAAATATTTATTGAAATATTTTTTTTAAGAGTTTGATAATTTAAAATATTTTAATAGTTTACAAAAAAAAATATTTTTTTAAAAATAATACAAAATAGTTCACTCAACAAAAAATAAATTAGTAGTATTTTTTAAAATAAGTTTAAATAAAAATAATTATCATTAAAATAAATCCATTTTTTTATAAAGAAAAGCTTTAAAAAAAATGGATAAAACACTGAAAAAAAATGTTAAAAAATGAAAAAAAAAAAGTAAGTAACAGAAGAAAAACAAAATAAAAAAATATAAAAAATTCTGAAAATAAAATAAAATAAAAAAAACAAAGACCGCTATGAACCATAACGACTTTAAAGTCACGCCATAACAACTTTGAATAGTACCTCACTCTAGTAAAAAAAAATGAAAAAAAGAAATTATATTACCTTTAATTTTATTTTTTAAGAAATTATATTATCTTCAATTTATTAAACGTAAATTAATATTTTAAATATTTCAATATGTTTACAAATGATATAAATTAAATTTATAAACAAAATGAATCGCTATCCTCTAGCGATGTTATATTTTATATATTGAATTAATATTTATTTTACACTTTTATTTTTTAATAATTTATTAATTTTTTATTTAACTGATAATAAATTTTACTTATATTTTTTTATATTAGATAATTCAATTAAAAATTTAATTTACTTTTTTTTAATATTTTATGTTAGTCTTAAAAAATATAAATAAATTTAATTTTTTTAAAAACATTATATGTTAAAAATTTAAATATGTTAATTTTTTTTTTACAAAAAATAATTAAATGGTGTAGGTTGTAGCGACTTCATTTAATTAGCGTATAAAAAATAAATTTTATAAATTAATTTGTCCATTTATTAATTTTGTAAATATTTAAATTCATACAAATATTTGAATTTTATTTTTTAATTTATTTTTTAAAACATTTTTATCAAATTATATTATCTTCATTTTTTTAAATATAAATTAATATTTTACAAATTTTAATATGTTTACAAATTATGTAAATTAAATTTTAAAAAAACATGTTAATCGTTATGGAGGATAACGACCTAACGTTTAATATACTTAATTAATATTTATTTTATACTTTTATTTATTTAATAATTTATGAAAATTTTGTTTTATTACTAATAAAAATAATACTTTTATTTTTATTTTATTACTAATAAATTAATGATTTTTAAAAAAA